AATACCAACTCAGTTTCCCGATTTAATTTGATTCAAGTTAATGCATTTAAAAAGCCTATTTTTCTAAAGATTCTATCGATACATTTCGTAAAAGACAGCAGAAAATGAAAGTCGCAAGCTATTTCACCTTAATTCGCTATTATTAAAGAATAGAGTGACAATTTCACGACATGATGACCAAATAGCTCCTTTCCAATAATAATTTGAGCGGATTTTCCAGGAAAACTTTCTATCCTCTTCGCGGAACGTTAGTCAGCTAAAATTACTTTCGTCGCGTGGCTATTCACGCATCTTTTACCATTAGTCCTTATTTACCCCGAGAAACACCGATGATTTGTGCAAATACCGTTACTCTCGTTCGTCGAGAGCGCGCTACTCTAATACGTGTCTCGGGCTCTATCTGAATCAAGCTTGATCAAACATAGATCGCCGTAAATCTCAAGTGATTCGCAAACACTGCGGTTAACCCAGTTACGCAAAGTTAATGAAACTGAATTATTTATCGTAGCAGACTGCTTGTATCATTTCTCGTCGCCACTTCTGTAACTCTTCTCTACAGAACTTCATAATTTTTATAAAAAATAAAACATTTATGTTATCGATTAAGGATGTATTGGCTATACAATCAATCCCAAAAGTTTATGCACTTTAGAAACGCATTTTTTAAAAAGAAATCAGACGTCGGAAGAACATNCTGATTTCTTTTTAATTATAGGAAATGCGTTTTTCTAAGGTACATAAACTTTTGGGATTGACTTAAATAATTTTTTAGTAGTCTTATACATTGCAAACAACGTTTATTTTATAAATTCATAAAACCATAAAGTCATTACTACCTTTTATAAAATAAAACTGTAAACTTAGTAAGAAAATATACATTTGAACTTAGTTAACGCAAACGATTCCAAATCCAAGTTCGTCCGAGAAATTTTTTAGACCATCTCCAGGTACCATCGACCGTTTGTAGAAACGTAAAAGCATTTCCGAGGGTTGAAGAACAAAAGGTGGAAAGAACGGGTGGAACATTGTATCGTTAATGATAAAAGGCAGCTGGCTTCCGCCTTTTTGACGCTGCTGCGACAATAACGTCTAGATGGAAATAATAGTTTTGAACAAAAAGTGGGTCGTTCAAAGTAACGTATCCAATCAAGCAATAATAACGACAACCTTGGGGAAGAAACTAGGCCGAAGCCAACGGGCGAATAAAGATTCGGGATACGAAAATTGGGGCTCCGATACGATATCTCTCGCGTGGAGGTGAAACGAGCAGATACAATTGGACCCACTCTCCTCTTTCCTGCATATTTCTACACTTCATTTATCCTCATCGATTCACCCTGACTCCTTTCAACAAACCCATTATCGAATTGGAACACCTGAAAATTATCTACTTTTTCGACAATTGAAATAGATACCAGAAATTCAATGCTTTTATAGAAATGATTTAACGAATAATTTAATAACAGGGAACAGGTACATAATGCATAGGAAAAAGCGGTGGATGGAGGATTGTTGGGGGTCACTGAATTCCCTTGACCCACCAATGTCCAGCTTCTCTAATCTCATTACGTACATGTATAGGAAAGCTATTCCATTATTTATGAGGAAATGGATGTAGTTTCGAGGTTTATCGGTAACATAATTTCGAGAGTGTTACTGCAGGTACTGCGGGGATCCAATCCGTGAAATAAAACAATTCTGTCTGCGAAGGAATAAAAAAATAATCATCTTCGAATGCATTGTACACGTATTACTCTATTTGAGAAAGAAAGTTGTCAAAACGGCAGTTCGTCTTTTTCTCCGGCACTTTACTCTAACTACTGAGTGTACACGGAATTACTGGGTTCTTGAAACGAGTTTTGTTGTCATTCTAAAAAGTGTACACATTTTAGGAGAAATGAAAGTGCTCGCAGTATTACACGTGTAATTTCGACGCGTCTGAAGGGCGACGTTCGACGTTCCGCAAGAAACCCTATCCCGGCCGGCCATAGTGACTCATAGCCTAAGTGCCGGGATTCAATCTGCGAAAGCTGCGTAGAGGAACGCGTCTCGAACCGCGCCCATACTCGTCAGAATGACGACGACGACGACGACGACGACGACGACGACGACGACGACGACGTCCCGGAAAAACTGTATGAGGAAGGTCTCGCTGCTATTTCCCCTTCTTTTTTCGTCGCGGTGCTTTCGAATCAATAATCCTGAACAAGGACTAGCCTTTCTTTGAGCGTAAGAATTCAAAGGCCACCCTTTTGTCTGAATACGAACCGTGTCCGAAGAATCAGACTCGTCTTTTCACTCTCTTCCGTTTTGTAACCCTCCACGCGAATAAATGCATAACGAAATGGGTAACGTTTAAGCGAAAACAGATTCTGTAACCATTTCATATTTCAGAATGAACCCGAATACGAAACTCATTTCGTGAAGAAAATAAATAACTAAAAAGCTCCGACGAACTTTTTCATTGTCAAAAGACCGGTTATCATAGTCTCTGAGCGCAACAATCGAGTGTCCCACAGAATTGACGCAAGTTTCCAACAACTGACCGGGCTTCATTACCCTTTGCGCAAAGTTTCTGTTTGCTTATACTGAATACCCCTTGCTCTTGGTAAACTTCATCTCGCTCTGGCTTTACTTCAGGAAGCCTTCAAGTTTTTTTCCCCCCTGCTTTTAATCTCGATGCGGAGAGAATTGTGATTTACGGTTGATGATCCACGAGGATCTAAGAATATGCTTCCTTTCGAAACAGAGCCTAACCATAAGAAAGGCATTAAAAAATTTTATATACGCTTAGTTATTTTGAGAATTATCTTTTGCAATTTTTTACTTCTGTATAAAAATTGTTTCCTCCCATCGAAACAAATCATTGGTTTAAGAATTTCAATGGTGATCATAATCTAAGATCAACTATAACGCTATAGGAAATCTTAATGCAAATTCATGATAGAATAACTATCATTAATATTTCAATGAAACATATTTCGTCGATGAGATCTTTTTTTAACAAAGAACACGTCTGTTCGCCGGATCCATCTGCTCGACTAAGAAAAGATCTATTTCTGGTGGCGAACATAAAATTTCGCACACCATTATTTACGTCTACTCTTTTCTTCCGATCGGCGCGGCGGATGATTGGAATATCCTGTCAAGCATGAAAACCCAACCCGGCAATATTTTACTCGCTCCTAACAACAACCAGCGGAATAAACGTGTACGCGTGCTGCTCTAACAATAAAGCAGATTCTCTTGCAAAATCCTATTGCCACGAGTCCGGTTCGATGAAAAGGATCGTCAATCATTCTATTAATCAATCCAGCTACAGCTAGATAGTTCGAGAAAGTACTGACCTTTTTCTAACTTCGTCTAATGATCCGAACCAATTGACTGACAATAAGCTAATCTAAAACTGTTCCACATTTTCCTACGTCTTCAATATATTTCGACGACACAGCAGTCTAAAAAACTG